TCTGGGTGCGCGTCCCGTTTCCCCGCTTCCCCGTTCCCACGCTTTTCCGTTCCCACGCTTTCCCGTTCCCGCGCTTTCCCGTTTCCCCATTCCCCTACTCGAGAATCCGCCCCCTCATAGTGGTCCAGCCGTTGAAAGTCCTACAAATTCCCGTCTTTCCATTGATGTAATCTTTGATTCTCGGTGAGAGAACCACTCAAATAATTTTTTTATGGTGGAAGGACCCATCACATGAGAACGACGACCCTCATATGACCCTCCCGAAGCTCCCGAGAAGCCACCCCTGAATTTTTGCGGCGATCGGTTCAGGCGTTTGTGAATTTTACGAATTCCCGATCTTTCAATTTTTTTCCGAGTTTTCGTATTTCCGTGGGTGGAGCACTCAAATAATTTTTTTTAAGTAGAAGGACTCATCGCATCGGAGAACTGACCCCCCTATAACCACCGGGGGATCCCCCGGAACACGCTCCTAAATTTTCACGACGATCGGTTCAGCCGTTTCCGAGTCTATAGGGCACCCCGGACAGACAAACAAACAGACAGACAGACATACGTTTTTTTATGTACGTTATATAGATGTGTATGTACGGCTAGGGGATTCCTGCATGAGAAAATGGCTCGGACGATCGCGGGACCCCCTGAAGGAGCATCATAACATGAATTATTTTCACCGACATTCGGGACCCCGAGAACGGCAGTCGGAACCCCCTGGGGGTCTCATGGCCACCATTCAGGAGCCCCTGCTCTTGGTGGAATGAAGCGCCCGGGAAGATTGAATGGAGCTCGCGACGAGGGATGGTGAACAACTTCTTCCTAATGACTTGTAGGTATTTTACACCTGCGCGGTTTCGACCTGACATATTTTTTCATTTTTACCAGTCTCGCTTTGTCTGCCATATCATAGAGCCGTAAGGGGGGTCCATGACTCTGTTTGAGTTGAAAGTCCCGCAGGTAGGGTCACTACATATAGAACGTCTACCGTGTTTCCAGCGAAATCCGGAAATGATCCTTGTTGGTTGAGTTTTCATGGGTTGGCGTGGAGTTCGTCTCTGAATCGAGGCAGGATTTCTCAGATGGCAGATCCGGTCAGAACAGGGGTCTTCAGCCGGGGCTCTCGCCACCGATTACCTTTCGCATGCTAATTTTAGGTTCCAGATGTATTCGAACTCGATGCGAAGAGTTCTATAGCGTAGAGAAAACTGAATATGGAAGACGGACTAGATTTTTCAATAAGTCCTCTGGAATTTCCTGTTATAAGAACCATGCCTGGACGATAGTCGTATGGAAGAGATTTCCGATGCCATCGGAGAGCGCAATGCCCTTCGCGTCTCACGGTTGTTTCCGTGGTCGTCAGCCTGGTACGCGCACTCTGGAAATTCGAGCAGCTCTCCCCGAAGAGCGGTCATTGCGTCATCGTTCACGCCACCATTCTGCCCTCGAAAATCTCTGACACAGCAAGGGGGAAGCTTAATGGTGGAGTTGATGAGCAGAAAGGGCACAGCTTCTCTAAGTTCTATGCTCTATTCATGATTTTCTTGAGGTCGCTGAGTCTTCGTATCTGTCAAGACGTTTCACAAGAAAAACTTGGGGACAAGGATGTTCAGTCACTCGAATTCAGAGTCTGAGAGCTGCAATTATCGGAAGGCGGTCGTAAGAAGTCTCCCCGAATTTATCCTCGACAACCATACGGCTCTTCATCACAGCGAGGAGATCCATGCTGTATGCGATCAGCCTTCACACTCGTGGAGAAGGGCGCAGCCACCTGTCAGAGGCCAGATTTCCCAGACTTCATTCTCAGACGTCAGAACTGACTCCAAACGAGACCGAGGCGCGCGAGACAATCCGCCGACTGCGCATCGTAAAACGGTCGTTGTCCCCACTTGCCGTGACTAATTCCGTGGAGTGGAAAATCGATTTCCGCGACGGACGCCATGTCACTGTCGAGGATATGAGGCCGCCTGTCGCGGATCGATAATCGAATTCCAGCACACCAGCCATGAAATCTCCGAAAACAGCTTCTCGCTCAAATTCCTCGCGAAACCCATGGCGTGTTAAATGCAATATTTTCGTGATTCCTGAAAGGCGAGTGAGACATCCTCTGCATTCTGAGACGCCTACCCATCGTGTAAAAGTAGGAGCTTCTTCGAAAACAATCGTTCACGATGAACTGCGCTCCTACCATCGCATATCGGATCAATAATCTTTTACTGGACCTGACGTCCTAATTCATGAGTATAATGAGTCACGACTCTGGAAAGTGGAGCCTCAGTCATTCCCACTGATTGAGTCTCCTCTCGGGAAAAATCTTCGCCGAACGGACTCGGTTTGAGATTTCCGCTCTGCAAGGAAAAGCTTTGGGTATCCTCCGGAACTCGTCTTTCGGCTCATCAGGAGCTCCTTTAAATCGTAAATCAATTTTGTCGCACAAGCTCGAGCTCCCACTTCCGGTGGTCTGCAGTGGGGCTCCCAAATACCCGCCAGTTTCGAAAACCGCGATTCTCGGGTACCCGAGAACCGTGGAGTCGGAACCGCGGGTAAAAACCGGAGAGAACCGAGTTTTTCCTCCTCTGATTTGGGACTGATACCTGGCGAAACTGATCGAGAATTTTGAACCTACCAACTCTCTGGAGCCAACGGAGTCAGTCGAATTCATTTTATTCCATCAGTAAGGTATATTTGCCGAGTTCAGTCTCCGTGTTCGCGGTACGGTCCACGTCGGCCAGCAGCGAGAGCAAGCTCGCTCATCTGTCGAGCGGCTACAGAGGAAGTGACCAGAACTGCCCCCTCGCGATTCCGAATAATCTTACCCCCGAATATAGGTATGTAGGCGGCCTGATTATTCGGTCCGGAGGGTCTACCTAGCGAGATGTAATGTGGGGTTTCCAAGACCCGGGTCCACCTACAAATCCCGCGCTATCTCGTCTAAATCGCGAGGGTCAATTCGAATACTTTCCTTGTTAGCGTACATGAGAGAGACATTCAGCCATCGAAAACATCTCGGCCTGGATTCTTACTCATTTTGGTGCATGTCAATGGTGGTTTAGACGCCGGGAATGATTTGTCTTGCCCCCTCGGAACCGCGGGTAAGAACCGAGAGAACCGGTCGGCTCCGGATCCGAGAGAACCGGTCGTCTCCGGATCCGAGAGAATCGGCCGGAACCCGCGGTTCCAGAACCTCGGGTAGGAACCGCTGGGAGCCCTAGTCTGCAGTTTCCTCGCGATGGATCAGTCTCACGGGTCGGAAGACGCAGCGACTGGTCCCGCGGGGATATCGGTCCGACATTCAACCGATGATCCCGCTCAGATCGAGTAGCATTTATCGTGCTTTGTTTTCCGGACGACGAGATCCAGCACTGACGAGGCATGAATCGAGACAGCTGAGTCACCTGCTTCCCGAAGAACACTACGCCCTGGGAGGATCGCAGCTCTCGCCCAGTTCGAAACCCAACTGTAACACCATGAGAGTGAATCCCCAGCTAGCACCGATGAAGTCGAGGAAAGATTTCAGGCTCAGAGATGTCCTTACGGCGAAAATCAATCCACAGTCTTGCCTGGCGAACACTTGGAGCTCATTGACCTCGGGGGCGAAGAAATGGGACGTCTTCCTGAGTCTTCGGCGCATCCTACGGCGATTCTGGAGAATTCTTTGGGCGCTTCTCACGACCAAAAGGAATTCTATCAGTTGCCGAAGGTGGTCAACTTCATTATACGGATCGAAGTCCACAATTGAGCCGAGGCAAGCCGCTCTGAACGGGATCTGAGTCACCAATAAGATGAAGTATATGATGTGCAGCATGTACAAAGGGAAGCCGAAGGTTCGGCTGAGACGATCGCACGTCGAAACCATCCGACGACAATCCCTGCCGAGCAGCTTCCCCGGGTGGGGAAGCTTCTCCATGCGATCTGCCTCCGAACCGAGAATCAGAGCTATCTCGACATATATCATTGTGCTCAAGAGCTGTACGAGGAAGTAGGTGGTTTCCCCCACTACATAGAGGAAAGCTCTGGCTGTCACTTGTAGAGGAACTTCCGGTTTCGATAATGCGATACAGAAGCAGATGGTCTGGAGCGAGCAGAGTATCACGGCGAGGGCGAGCGATGCTGCGCCATCCGAGCGAATTTTCCGTCGTCTCAAAGTCCCCCTGCGTAGCCGCCACACGTAAATTAGCAGCGAATGCAGACATGCGTACACGTAAACAGCTGCCGTCACGAATTGCACGATGATATCACGTTTTTCGATGCACGAAATCGCTAAATACACTATTGCTTGAACATAGGAGTAGAGGAAAATACATTTCACAAGCCACCGGCTCTGCTCATTGCAACCGTCCACCCCAATCAAGGAAGGTATCGAAGCCAAGAGAGAGTCCGCTGGTCCAAATGAGCTCTCGTCCGGGAACGCGCGGCTCCGCACTGATATTCTGACAATTTCTCTCGTCGCGGTTCGCATGGCAGGAGACGGGTTCCAACTAGAGCGGACTGACTTTAACCGACGCTTCTGTTTCTCCATCTCCGCTGGGAAGCAGATCTCAAACCATGATCGATACTCGATCGGGAGATACAGATCCCAAAGAGACCAATAGACGGAGGGTACTTATCGCTGGCGAACTAATTGGACAAGAAGTGTATTAATTATGGTGCGCAAGCTCAGCATTACCTCTTAGAGCATGCATTCATTGATCCATCCATCCGTTCCTTCTCGCTCCGGAGGCTCGTACAGCGAACGCCGCAGCGACACCCTCGAACAAGCTGCTGGTTGGTCGACACTATAATTTCGGAAGCATAGACGGGATCTTCGTCCCATGGCGCGAAGATCTTCCCTAACCACGACTTGCACTGCTCGGTGACGCTGTCATCGAGGGAATCAGTCGGGCCGAAACATCTCCATAGGGAGCTTGTCTTCTCTCTCATGCTGAACGTTTAATTATTCATGGATAGATATTCTGTATTCTCCCCAGGGTGTCCGTCGAAAGAAAACGAAGAATTCATGATAGGTTGGATATGAGAAGTGTACACAGGTGCTTGCTTTTATTACAATTTCATCATCTAAGAGGCTCGCTTTGGAGGTATTATACAAATATCGATTGGCCCGATACCCAAGAGAAATACCTTAAGAATGGACGACGATCCGGGTGCTGTGCTCATTTTTTGTGTTTTTTCTTCTCTGGTGATCGCCCTTTGCTCTCGTCGCGAGCTCTTTTCTTGCTCTTGTTTGGTGATTTATGCGGACTCCTGTGCTTGTCCTTGCTCGACTTGTCCTGCGAAGGTAGGAACATTCGGTGTCATACGAGGAGGAGAACATTGAGGAGGTGAGTCAGGCGTTCGATAAATACTTAAGTCTTATGGATCGAATCATCAAATGATCTAGATAAAAAGTGTTCAGCTTTCGCATGATACTTACATGATGCGATTTCTTGGGCGAAGAATATTTGCTGCTCGAACTGTGTTTCGAGGGGCGTTTTGTGAAGACTTTCGATTTACCACTACGAATTTCCTCTTCATCGTCTCTGTCGGCTTTCCGAGCTTCTTCCTCGAGCTCAGACCAATCCTTCCCGGACTCTTCCGACGAGCCGAGAGATTCCTCTTCCGACGAGCCTTCTTCTTCCGACGAATAATCTTCCGAATCGGATTCGTCTTCATCTCCACCTTCGTCGTCTTCGGAATCGGTGGGATTGAAGTCTTCGTCCTCGCCTTCCGGATCGTCATCGTCTTCGCCTTCGTCTTCGGAGCCAGAATTAGTGTCCAGGAATTTCCAGCCTCCATTGTCGAAGAAACCTTCCGGGTCGCTCGTGATGGTTTTCATGATTTTGTTCCAGTTAAACGACTTGAGACCTTCGGTGTAGCGGATGTCAACCGAGTTCAACCACTCTTTCACATGGTCGAGTAGATTCATCGGGACCAGACCGACCTGAGCGACTTTGCGGTGGTAGTCTTTGAACACGAATACCATGTCGAAGTTCTTGAGATGGAACTGAACTCTTTCGAAGTGAACGATCTCCACCTCCTCCAAGGTTATGACGAACACCGGCCACTCGGTGAGATTCACCAGGGCCCCAGAGGTCGGCTGGAGCAGAACGGTGGACCGGCACGGTACTCCAGGGAAACCTAGATCCCTGAACGGAGTGTCGAACGTCACCTCTTGCTTGGTCATGCTCTCGACTTTCTCACAGAACTGCTTGAAAGCGCTCTTGAGCCTGTTCCTCAGATCTCGTTCAGCCTGCTCCGCAGCGAGATCGTCCCGGTCGTGCATGTGCTGATGTTTCCCGAGATCGGTCGTTATCTCACCAACCTCCGTATAGAACTGCACGTTGTCTTGCTTTTTCTTGCCGATGACAATGGGATTTCTCATCGTGAAATGGAGCAGGATGATCATTTCCCCATCACAGGGTTGGAAGAATGCGTGCTTGATGTTGTTGTACAAGATGTCGACACGATCGCCTCGCACTGAGGTGAATCGGAAGCCGTTCGTGTGAGCCTCCAACGAGCCCATGATTCGCTTGGCGTGAATATTGGGTCTGATGAAGATATCTTTCACTTTCGGGTTTCCCTTGTTGTTCGAGAGGACGAGCGCGTCCTGTTTCACAATTCCTTCCTGTTCTCGTTTCTCGGCTTCCCGTGTCTTCCACTTCTTCTGCACCGTCTTAATCAACTGACAGACCGTGTTGAGGTTGCTCGACGGCGCCGACAACTCGCCAGGCTCCTTGAGATTACTAGCTCGGAATGTGACCTCCTTGCTGAAAGTCAGCTCGGGATTGGGGAAGTAGGAACCTTCGTTCCGACCTAGAGCTCCGCCGCCCGGGTGGAAGAAATTGATCCGCAGATAGGTGAAATCCCCTTCGACAGATTGTGATACGTTCTTCAACGTGCTGATATGGAAGGGGACGCCGACACCGCAGCAATGCAACAGGATAGTTTCGTACTTCTTGTCGACGAACAGTTTCAATCGTTGAATTTCCGGCTCGTTGGGGAATTGGGTCTCCCCTCTATACGACACGACGGCTTTCCCGTGTTTCTGTTCGACTTTCTTGTCTCCTTGATGAATCAAACGATGGCGAGCCTCGGTGTTGACTTTGTCGGCGAGAATTTTCTGATTCTGTTGTCGTTTCTCTTCAGCAGAAGTTTCCGTCCGAAGCTTCGATTCCATAATGGCGTTATTTCTCCGAGCACCTCGACCGAGGAGCTCATCGGCTTTCTTGTCTTTGTTGGTAACGCTCTCCTCCTGCTCTTCTTCCGATTCCTCGTCTTCATCCTTGAGAACGATCGCGACATTCTTCACTTTTTTCTTACTCTGGGTGAGCACCGTGGCGGGGTTGTCTTTGTCCGTCACTAGAACGGTGTCACCGACAAACAGAGCGTATTTCTTCGCGTCGTTCTTCCCTTCGGAGTTCTCTAGATCTGCCAGACCGACGCAGACATTGAAGATCATGCCCTTCTTAGCCTCAACATTCGATTTCGGTGCAATCGAGAGGCTACTCTCTCGGAACTCGATGCCCATGGCGAAGCTGAAAAACAAATCGTTGACGATCATTATTTCAAACAACTCGGACTCGGAGCTTGTGGTCGCCAGAACTCATCTCTCCATACAGGGATCGGGATACAGGCTTCCGATATTGAGCCGGAGTACCACCAAACTCACCCGAAACTCTTGGTAAGGTTTTTGACGAGATCCTTCTTGTGTTCGGCAGCGTATTTCATGCCCTCAGCGTGAACGTCGCTCAATTTAACACCGTCGCGCAGCTTATCAATGACGTGTTCTTGTAAATTAACGAGGAAAGTATAGATCTCTTTCTGTTCCTCGGAAGGATTCACCATAAGCGTACGGACGATGTTCGAGCAGTAGTTCTTGTAACGAGCTCCCAACATGCAGACAATCGTTCCGAAATCCAGTGTGTTCTTATCCGACTGAACGCTGAATTTGAGGTTGTAATTGCCCCCGCTCTGGATGATGGCTGGATAGCAGCTATCCACCTGGTGCGTATCCGTGTTCTGACCGACGTATTTCTTGTTCTGGAAAGCTTCTTCCACCATCTCGGACAGCCTGCTGTGTTTGATCTTCTTATCGGAATCAATGACCTCCATGATCTGCTGTCGCAGGAACTTGCTGTACACGTCCACGGACATCTGGGAGGCTCGCTTGGTCAGACCGATCTCGTGATCGTCCTTCAACGCCATGATGTAAGCAAACGCGGGTGAAACGTCCACCGTGGAATCAAGCTTGGCACTTGAGAGAGCCGCTCTCCAGAGCTCGATGAAGTCCGAGGTAATTTTATCTTTGGCGAAGACCCCCAGGGTCTTACCATCTCGGGACTTTTTAATCAAGTCGGTGATCTTCGAGAAGTTCGCCTGATCCTTGTCGCCCTGAAAATTCGAACAGGCTTTGCGTGAGCAGCGGGATCCAGACGACCATGAATCGACGAGGGACCTCATCGAGAGGACGGCGAGTCGTCGAGGACCCGCGTCGAGAGGACGACGGAGTCGATCAATACTCGGTCAGTATAGTTCGATGACGGTATGAAAAAACATTTTTACCTTATCTCGGATCAAGAGCGTGACAGGTGGGAGTCCGTTTTCATTTTCCTTGCCCGATTCAATCTGTTTGAGAAATTCGATTTTCCTCTTGGATGCAAGGAATATGATCTGCTTCTCACAAAGTACCATCAAGGTGTCCAGCAACTCGTAGCCGAACAAATAATGATGGAGCGACGTGCTTTTCGAATAAACAGCGTCCTCATCTTTTCCTATGACCACGACTATGGCGTCCGACTGCGCCAAGGGCTGGAACTCGTTCTCGCCGTTCTGGAATGGAGGGGGCGGGGAGTCTAGATGAGATCCCGGAATGGTGCGGAGTTCTAAGTAGCAGAGGCTTTTTCAATATTGACATCGTGCTATCAAGGATGTTGGTCGTCGGCAGAGGTCTTAGTAATCTCGAGAACCGTAGTAGGAGAAGGAATAATTAGGTAAGCTGATCTGGACCGAGATAGGCATCCCACCAATGAAAGTAAGCGGGAGCCGGGCCCGTAGTCGCGTCGCGGAGAGCAACACGCCGCTGAGAACGCATCGGAAGAAAACTGAGGGTGACGCTCTTCGGAGCGTCCCTGAGAGTACTAGATGTCTGGAGCGACGCCGTCGGGATAGTGTCAGCGACCGCAATGGTCATAGAGCTTATCTACAAGGAACATAAGAGTCGCCCGACAAGTGAATCATCAGAAGAGAGGATGAAGTTGAAAATCAAGGAAAGAAGGTCCGGTTCAGCAATCAGGGTCTCGGTGATTCGCGCGTACGCGAATTTTCCGATGGAGATTCAACCTTTGTCTACAACAGGCCTGTTGCTAAGGCCTCGCAGCGTCGAGTCTTCGATCTAAGCGACGATTTCGAGAAGTAGCCAGAGTTGTTTCTCGAGTGGAGCCGAAGACCGGCTAGACGATAGCTCACCTTCCAGGCTTCGTAAACGGATTTCATCCTCCTGTAGAAAGCATCTTTGTTCAGCACGGGGTTGGACATGGCTGCTTTTGCAGTCAAGCCCAACCTGAACTTTTATTTCACGAAAAAAGAACAGGTTCGCACACGCCACACACCACTGATCAAAATGGCGCTAAATGGAAACACACAAGGAGCGCTGCAGTCGCTGTTTTGGCGCGCAGCGCTAAGAGCCCGCCAAAGTTCAAATCTGCTCTTGGCGGCAAACTTCCGAGGATTTCGGTGAGGGCTCCTGATCCCCTGCTTCCGCTGTGTCGTTTCGTCGGAGAATGAAGGGAACAACGCCGGATGTGTCAGATTAGGAACCTTTCGAGAGTTTCGCTCCTCCTCTAAATCACATCAGGTCTTTGATCCCATCGCTAGCTCTACTTAGAGCTCTATTTTGCACCTACATGCGGATACGCCGCATTCTCGAAACTTGAATGAATGTGACTACAATCAAACCCGCTTGACCGAGAAAACACCAGCCGCCCCAACGGAACCCGAGTCCGTGTACTAGGATCCACACACCGAGCAACACATGAATGTTTTAAATTGTCCTATCCGCCTCGTCGCTCGCGATGAAACGAAATGAAACGCGTGCGATGATTGACCACCGAATAACTGATTTCGAGATGATGCGTCTAAGCGCGCGGCGGCGCAGCTAATCCGAGTCGATGAGGGCCGTCGGAAACTGTCGGTGTGGGGGTCGCGACCCCTGAATTCCTGTGTCTGAATCTCGTAGGCGCAATTCGAGATGGCGGTTTCTCACGACCTCTCGATTGGTGATTTGTGATTGACAAGGGTCCCTGTGGGCAGAACCCCTGTTGTCGATCGATTCAGCCCAATCGACGCCAGGCGTGAAGTGGCGGAGATTCCGACCCAAACCGGGAGAGCTCAAGTCAGTTGCGAGATCGCGCTCGCGCAAGACATACTTCGCACGAAAATGTCCGAAATCGAGAAGTCCCGGTACGGGTGAGGGGATCCGATGATATTGATCCGCTCCAGTTTAGTGTGGTTCTATTTTCTTTAAAAAGCGATGAAAACAGCAACCTGAGTTCCGAGAACTGCGGCACGCGGAGGGCAAACTGGGGAAGGCGGATAAGGGTACTCTGACTGAGGTGAATCCCCATTCGTGGCACCTTTTGGTTCAATGTGGTCGGCATCGACAATTAGGTACACAAAAGGATACCACATTCTCTCAACAGAAGCGCGCTTCGCGGAAGTGATCTGGCCTCAGGAATGTTGAAAGGAGTAGAATCTCTCATTCGCCTCGTATTTCTCATGGGGCGGTGGGTGTTCATGAAGCAGGAATTTCATCCTCTCTCCGATTCGTGGAGGTCTCCTTACATTTTATTACCGTTTATGCACAACCATTGTGGATCCGACGCTCTCTGCCCTAATTCTATCGAACATATTATGACTCCTTCCATTAAGTGTACACGCCTGGGGAAAATGATCGTACGAGTTCTTAGTCGCCATCAGAAGGTGGATCCCATGATTCTCGCATGTGAGCAGCGTTCAGGATGAATAAATCCCTGGTATCCAAAACTCAGGGGATGAAAACGTTTGACCGGAAAGAATCCCAGCGGGAGCCCAAGCTCTCGATACGTATGCCTTCCGTTGTTGAAGACATGCGGCGGCAGTGGCCTGTCGGCGTCAAATCAGAGGCTGCCTCACGCTGTCTTCGGTCAGGTCGCACGAGTTGAAAACTCTCGAGTTGCTCAATGCCAGAACCCCCACGTGGAGGGGCTCTGAGCCGTGCAGAACGTTTATCCGTTCACAACACGATGCTGATATTCCCGACTTGGGATCCAAAAGTGTGCCACTCTCCGACCAGTTCAGACACGACGCGGACACTGAAGCTGACGACATCGGAGACACGTGCTCGCTGTGGTCCTGTAAGAAAAGATTTGGAATGAATCTTTTGAAAGGGGAACAAATCAGTGTTTCGAAATTTCCGGAGAGGAATATCTCCTCAAGGACTCCGAAAACTCAGTCGCTCTGCCCGGGTGGGCAAGGCTCTGTAGGGGCTCCGGGTCTGTTCCTCGCAAGTTTTGCTATCCGTTTCTAAAAAAAACAAGAAGCCCCAACCGAATATCCATTGAGTTATCCGTGACATACTAATCTTGCTTCAGTCGGGCAAGCCTTATCCTCGTCTCAAGTTAATGCCGCTTCGAGTGCAACATTAGTTGCCGAGCGCAGCTTCGGCGCTGGTTGCGGCGGCAGTTGCTGTTCCTATGCATACAAAGGAGTTCCAGAGAGAGTCTGACCGAAGCTAGCCATGCATTTCAAATTGCCATTTTAGGAAAAAGCAGGAGTCTCCGCGCCGGAGTTAGCACTCGGTGAGGAGGGCTTAGCGCTTCGGGGGCTAGCAGCCGACCGCCAGGCTCTCTCATCAGTTTCCCTCCTACGGCCAAGGCTCTGCCTGCCAAAGAAGAAATTCGAGCAAACATCGGCTCCTCGCGCTCCCTCCTCCGCCCGACTGGAGTCCTCTTTCTCCGGTGTCCTCCGATTCAAGTAAATCTCCCTCAGACAATTACAGGATATCTGATCATCATTCCCTGCTCCCGGACACCGTGACGGTATAACCGAACCTGGAAACTATTCTGTAAGCACATCCGCGAGCAGAGCCAAACGCCACATTCGGGATTTACCAAATCCTGGAGATCCTGCTAATCCGTTCTGTGTACGAGTTAAAGCTCCGCGGGCCATCGGGTTTCCTTACCGGAGTCAGCCAATCCAGCCTGGAGAGCATTCTGCTCAGTTTCGCCGGCTGGCGGACGGTTTTTTCCCGGAGGAAGTCACCGGCTGAGTTGATCACGCAAACCACGAACATGAGTGAGCCCAGACACAGGCCGACGATAGCCAACGTGACATACTCGTAATACCACAACAAACAGGAGGCAATCCACAGCGACACCGTTATGAGCGAGTTCCACGGCGTCGCGCCGTAGGCCACCGAAAATTTGTAATGAGGGTCATTCTTGTACTTCAGTATGAGGATCATGGTGAGCGCATGGAGGAGGCGAGCGGCTTGCAAGAGTCATCGGTGTGGGAGCTCATCGGGACGATATCGAGAAGTCTCCCGCACTCGCGCAATCACGGCGAATTACGAATGCCCACCAGGAAGCGCAAGAGTCTGTTACCGTGCGTTGCCAGGACAACGTGGATCCTGCACGAACACCTATTGATTAATCCTCGTTTTTACGACTTTCCTCGTCCGTATCATGACGGCCTCGTCGCGCTACGCATGATCTCCGGAGCTGACAAGTGGTATTTTGCAACCGGTTCAGGGTAATCCTTCAAATTAATGGATCCTCCAGCCCTTCGGAAACGTTTCAGTTTTTATCCATCGTTCAGCCGAAGCAGAGGTCCTCGCGCTCGATTATCTCCTTGCCGTTTTCTTGTCGCAGGCACGGAGGTCGCAAGGCGTCGGTCAGAATCCTTGGGCTCGGAGGGAGATTCTCCGAAGTTTTACACGAATTTTCAAAGCGCGCTCCACTTTGTAAAAATGGCCTTCCTCTCTCGCTCTGTGTCGGAACGACGAGGAACCATCGCGCAGTGGGCGACTGGCGGAGTTCATCCGCATTTACACTCGCAGGTGGAGCTTGTGGTCTATTCGTCTTCATTGCAGGGACTCCTTCTCGTAACGATCATTCTCTCAGTTCTCCGTTTCGCTTTGTTCCCTCATTCGCGAGATGAGCTACTCGGCGGCTCCGTTTGGCCCCGCTTGGCCCGTTTTGGCTCCGACCAGACAGAGGCCCTTTAGCCTACGGGTATTCCCTCACTCAGTTTGGCTCTTCGCTCCCCCACTAGGCAAAATATTTCTTTCCTCCGATGCAAGAGACAACGAACCAATTTCCACTGGACCTCTGATATCTCTATGGAAAGGGGATTATTCTCTCCGCTGTATTTATTGAGCGACGCGTGAACAAGAATCCCGGGAGAGGCTCCGAGGAACTGCAATGGGAACTCGAACTGCAGAACTTGGCAGTGGTAGAGATACGCCTGCGCTACCGCGTTTTTCGTTTGGTCACAGCTCAGTTGGCGGTACTTTCTTCCGGATTACGTGGAGTCTGTACAGTGTACGTAGACCCGGAGAAACTTCGCCTCCTCGCACGTCGTCTACGGTCCCTATTCCCATCATTGATGGCGGGATGGCGGGCGAACGGGCAGGCAGGCAGGCGACTAGAAGCCATAGAGCCAATTGCAATATAGCAAGGCGCTCGAGCATGCCGAGCCGGCAGTGCTAGTTGACGCTCACCCCAAAGCAAAGTGAGTCGGTCTTGCTTGGTCTGTCGGTTCATCTATCTGTCCGTCCGTCCGTCTATCGGGTGCTGGCTCGGTCGGATGGTTGGCGGTGGTGGCAGCGGCGGCGGCGGCCACAGTAGTAGTTGTAGTAGTGGTAGCAGCAGCAGCAGCAGCGTCGAGGTGGCTTCCCTCATAACTCGATTACCTGCTTGGCCTCTCCGCTGACGCCTTCCATGCCTCCTCCGTAGTCGAGGATCTGGTGCAAAATCTCCTTATTTCAATTGCCCCTTCAAGAGTTTTTTTTCTTCCTCCGAGCCCCATCTCTACCACGGCCAAGTTCTGCAGTTTGGCCGCACTTCGAACTCCCACGAGTCGCCATGCTCCGCCAGTGTTCGAACTTACGAACATCTGCTTGGAAATCAAGTCGTCTGACGCATCCGAGCACTTCTCCGACAGTCATTGAGACTTTTGACCGGCCGGAATGTCTCCTGGACTGGTACGGATGATTTCCCTCCTCTCGAGCATGTGTAGACATCTTCAGAGAAATGAACCGAAAGTGAATCCGGGAAGATCCCAGGTCCCATCATCAGCGAGAGTCGGAGCCTGTTCCGGAGCCCATCGGGAACCGGAAATTCTTCGCATTCGAATGACGGAGTCGAATGGAGATGCGATCATGCACTCCCAATCGCCTCCCGTTAAAGCTCAGTTCGTTCCCCGGTGTCTGGGAGTTCTCGGCTCGCTCGTTTTCTCGCTTCTCATTGATGTCTAATCTCTCTGCACTACGTGTATCTGCGCATGTATCGATGTATACCCCCAGCACGGTTCCTGCTAGCTAAGGTGTCCCCCGATCATTCCGGCCTGTGCCTACTTACGTCTTTGATTTTTCTTCTGACGGGATCTGTGGGAACGAATTGGGCTCTCGAGCGGTTGATTCGTTTGAATTCAGATTGTTGGCATACCAGAGATTCGCGATAATTTTACTATTGCATCAGATGATTATATAAGTTTCGCCTCCGTATCCCCATCAAGCGGCTTAGTTGGAGGACATATTCGCGATAAATAAATTCCGAATCGAGCACAATAGCAAATCGTGGAGTCGGGGTAAGAGGGAGACATACTTCCTCACCGTTGGTCCCAGCCGCCGACCGGAACCGACACCTCCTAGAATTCTACTCCGCAATCCGACCGAGCATCGTGCCTCGTTCGCATGGCATGATTCGATCGCAGTGCGGAGCGAATTCCATCTAATCGCGCCGAGAGACCCCTTTTTTGAATATCAGAGCTCGAACGTAGATTTCTTAGAGACTCCTCGTGTCCTCAAGGGTGAGCCGATCCCTAGCCCCTCCATTTGACTCATGTGTCTAAGTAGCAGCAAATGAGGCATGCCCTTCTCTTTTCGCATTTTTCCCGTTCCTATCGAAGGCCTCAGGAAGCCTGGTGTCGACGCCTGCTGGTGGCGATTCTTATCCAAAGCCCAAAGGACCGACATCAACGAACACGTATCAACTGGATCCGACTTCGACAATCGCCTGAAAAAAAATATCGGGAAGACGAGGAGGATCCTGGGATGATGGAAGAGAGAAAGAGCTGAGCGACCTGTCGAGGATTCGCACCGGTATCAGGGTTATGTGACTATACTCATCGTATGCCTACAGTCTACAGATAAGCACCTAGATAAGTCAGATTAGCACGATGTCAACAAGTGCTCGGTGAGACGTATAGGTATTGGTTTCGGTCTCGGCTACCCGTGTCAAGCACCAATTGTCGGTCAGCTGATCGGAATGTAGATATGCGCGCGAGGAAAACAACATACGACGAGTTCGCGTAAAAGCTTCGAATTCTTTTCGGATTCATTATCCTCGGAGCATTCGAAGACCGATTGTTGGTGGAGCGACCCCGACACCGGATCTAAAAGCCATCGGTGAGCTAACCTCGCATCGACTGCCTGATCTCACATGGCCCGCAGTCGAAATTTTCAGTGTATCGCGCGCATCACGAGAGTAGTCGACGGAGAATGAGAAATGAGCGATGCGATAAGCTTCTACAAAGCAGCGTCTGCTAGAACATTGAACGAAAAGAGAGATTATCGAAAAAGAAGTTGTACAATAGAAAGATCAAACGATAAAAAAATATTTCCATAAAAAGATTGAAGCCTCCGTTTCAATGAAGGTCTTCATCGGGTACTGTGGCCTTAGCGCGGCGTAGTCAAGGCTCCTTCGAACACCTCTAGAGACGGAGGGATCAGTATTACGTGGCTTAATCGCTACTCAATCTTATCCGAGACTCGTAATCTCATCTTACTATCTGGATAGCGTGCTCCGTTACGCGTGTCGCGGACTCGATGGGTCGCGACGGACGGATGTTTCAGGCTGGAAGCGCTTCGGGTATTTCTTGGTCTTACGCTTCTGTCTTCAAAAAGTCCCCTAATTATCCCCAGGAGCACTTCCACGTGGATATTTCCCGATTGAAAAAATAAGAATTCACCCATTGCAGCGAATCGTCGCGTCCATACTGGACGTCAAGCTGGAGTTTTTCCGTTCGTGGCGCCAGTGTCGAAGACAGCCGTCGAGTGCAGAGATACGCTCTGCCTTTGAGATATTGTGGAGACTGTAGCAAGATTCCGTGACATCCACAAGCCGCCGGGATCATCATCTCTTCGCATCGCCATGGTGGTGCTTCGTTTCTTCGCGAGGCCCGCAGTGCCGGCTGCGAAGCACGCCGAGATCGAGGACAACTTGAGATCTGTGTCTGGAGGTAAAGTTATCGAGCTCGAGCAAACCGAGTCGTGCTACTACGTCAATGTCAATGGGGTGCTCAATGCTGAGCAAACAGAGCGACTCGAATGGCTCCTCTCCCCAACGCACAGAGAACCTTTGAAGGCAAGCGATTCCAGTGAGCTGATTGTCGAGGTCGGTCCTCGACTTAATTTCGAGACTCCCAGCTCCACTCAAGCTGTCGGAATCTGCCAGACCATCGGCCTCGATCACGTGACTCGAATTGAAAAATGCGTTCGTTACCTGATCAGATGCTCGTCGAAGGACGCCGCCCTGACGGCGAAGCTCTACGAAGCGCTCCACGACAAAATGACAGAGCAAATCTACGAGAAAACTCTGAGCTCGTTCGAACTCGACGCGAAACCCGACTCATGGTCGGAAGTCGACATCCTCGGTCAAGGCAGGGCCGCTCTGGAGAAATGTTCAAAAGAGCTGGGTTTAGCTTTTGATGACTGGGACTTGGATTACTACACAAATCTCTTCAAGAGCAAACTCAAGAGGAACCCCAGCACGGTCGAATGTTTCGACTTGGCCCAGTCGAACAGCGAACACTCTCGTCATTGGTTCTTCAAGGGCGATTTGATCGTCGACGGGAAACCGGAAAAACAGAATCTGTTCCAGATCATCCAAGACACTCAGAACAAGTCGAACGATAATAACGTCATCAAGTTCAGTGACAACTCGTCGGCTATAAAGGGCTTCAAAACTCAGATCTGGATACCTGAAGATCCCTGCGGACCGAGCAGACTCAAAGTCGAGCAGAAAACTCGACATTTATTGTTCACAGCGGAAACCCATAATTTCCCGACGGGGGTCGCTCCCTTCTCCGGAGCAACGACTGGGACCGGAGGACGTATTCGAGACACTCATGCGACCGGCCGGGGATCGCACGAAATCGCTGGAACGGCTGGATACTCCTTTGGCAACCTTCACGTCCCCGGATACGACTTGCCTTGGGAGGAGAGTTGGGAATACCCACCTAATTTCGCACCCCCGCTGCAAGTAGCCGTCGAGGCCTCCAATGGAGCATCGGACTACGGGAACAAGTTCGGAGAGCCCGTTTTGGCGGGTTTCTCAAGATCGTTTGGTATGCGCTTGGCGAACGGAGAGCGTAAGGAATACGTGAAGCCGATCATGTTCTCGGCCGGATTCGGTTGCATCGACGAGGACACCTGCATCAAGGTCGCACCCGAGAAAGGTGAGTTCTGAGGTGGCCGAGAAGCTTCTGTCTCAATTATTTTCATAGAAAACAGAACCCCGTGTCTCGTGGCTTGGAGGGTCACCACCTTCTGTAGATATGGGATATGGCTGAGGATGGAATCAATGGAATCGATGGTTTCGATGGAATCAATGGAATCGATGCTTTTGATGGAATCAATGGAATTTATGGTTTTGATGGAATCGATGGAATTGATGGTTTCGATGAAATCGATGGAATTGATGGTTTTGTTGGAATCAATAGATTGATGGCTTCGATGGAATCAATGGAATTGATGGTTTTGATGGAATCAATGGAATTGACTGCTTTGATGGAATCAATGGAATTGATTGCTTCGATGGAATCAATGGAATTGATGGTTTTGATGGAATCAATGGAATTGATGGTTTTGATGGAATCAATGGGATTGTTAATCCAAATCTTTTCCACCCCAGGCATGTTGGTCGTCAAGCTCGGCGGGCCCGTATACAGGATCGGAGTGGGAGGAGGCGCAGCGTCATCCGTCGTTGTCCAAGGGGATCAGAGCGCGAAACTCGATTTCGACGCCGTCCAGCGAGGAGACGCGGAAATGGAGCAGAAGCTCCACCGACTCGTCCGGGCTTGCGTCGAGCGTGGCATCGACGCCAACCCTATCCAGAGTATCCACGATCAGGGGGCCGGCGGCAACGGAAACGTCCTGAAGGAGATCTGCGAGCCAGCCGGGGCCATAATTCGCACCAAAGAGTTCCAACTTGGGGATCCAACGATCAACACGATGGAACTGTGGGGTGCCGAATACCAGGAAAACGACGCCATCCTCTGCAAAGCCGAGGACCGGGAAGTGCTCCAGCAGATTTCGAAACGAGAACGATGTCCCGTGAACTTCGTCGGTGAAGTGACAGGCACCGGAAGAATAGTCCTCGAAGAACACGATGGACAGAAGCGACCTCCGGTCGACCTTGACCTCGAAAGCGTATTGGGTCACATGCCGAGCAAGACATTCAGGCTCGATAGCTATAAGCGCCCGCTCAAAGCGTTGAAATTGCCTGATGGCCTCCAGATGACCGATGCGCTACACCGAGTGCTCCGTTTGCCGAGCGTAGCTTCGAAGCGATTCCTCACGAGCAAGGTAGACCGTTGCGTCACGGGACTGGTCGCTCAGCAGCAATGCGTGGGACCGTTGCACACCCCGCTGGCCGACGTCGCTGTGGTTGCGTTGTCGTACTTCGACAAGGTCGGAGGAGCGACTTCGATCGGCGAGCAGCCCGTTAAAGGGATCCTGAGCCCGTCGGCCGGCGCTCGAATGTCCGTCGCCGAAGCCGTGACCAACCTCATGTTCGCCAGGATTTCCTGTCTGAGGGATGTCAAGTGCAGCGGCAACTGGATGTGGCCCGCGAAACTCCCGGGCGAGGGAGGGGCTCTCGTGGAAGCCTGTAAGGCCATGTGCGATACGATGGCGGCTCTCGGCATAGCGGTCGACGGAGGCAAGGACTCGCTGAGCATGGCCGCGAGAGTCGGCTCCGAAACGGTCAAGTCTCCGGGAACGATAGTGGTGTCCTGCTACGCACCCAGTCCCGACATAACGCTCACCGTCACTCCGGACATCAAGGGTCCGAGTAGCGGAATGTCGACGTGTTTGATCCACGTTTCCTGCTCGCCGGGAAAAGCTCGATTGGGCGGCACGGCTCTCGCGCAGGTGTACAAACAATTAGGGGATACGGTTTGTGATTTGGAAAAACCCGAAATCCTCAAAAATGCGTTCGAGGTCACCCAGAGCCTCTTGGACAGGAGGATCATCCTCTCCGGTCACGACGTTTCCGACGGCGGGGTGATTACTTGTGTGTTGGAAATGCTTTTCGCCGGAAACTGCGGAGCCACGCTCAACATTCTCAGCAACGGCGATGAGGTCTCGGCTCTGTTCAACGAGGAAGTGGGTTTCATCCTCGAGATCAAGAACGCCGACTGCGAGGCCGTAATGAAATCCTACAACGATGTGGGAACTAAATGCGTCATGATCGGTGAGACCACCACGAGCGGTCCCAGAGCGAAGATCAGCATCACCTGTGGAGCTTCGAAAATCGAGTCGACGGTCGCGGAGCTCCGCGACATCTGGGAGGCGACCAGTTTCGAGCTGGAAAACTATCAGACCAACCGTGACTGCGCCGCGCAGGAGCGTAGGAGTCTCAGAACCCGTACGACTCCTTTGTACAATTTGACAGATGCGATAACGCTGCAGATTCCGAAAACGATCGCCAACAGAAACATCAAGGTCGCGGTGGTCAGAGAGGAGGGTGTCAACAGCGATCGCGAGATGCAGGCCGCCCTGTACCTGGCCGGCTTCGAGAGCTGGGATGTGACGATGACCGACCTCCTGGACGGCAGGATTACCCTCAGCGAGTTCCGGGGTCTCGTATTCCCGGGAGGCTTCTCGTACGCTGACGTGCTGGGATCGGCGCGAGGCTGGGCCGCCGGCTTCAAGTATCACAACGGACTCCGCAGTCAACTCGAAACATTCAAGAGACGGCGAGACACTTTCTCGCTGGGCGTGTGTAATGGGTGTCAATTGATGGCGCTACTCGGATGGATTTGTCCGGGCAAACGCGACCAGCCCGGGGTCTCGCTGCTCCAGAACGTATCCGGCAGGTTCGAGTGCCGCTACAGCAACGTCAGGATCGAGGAGTCGAATAACATCTGGCTGAAAGGTATTTCGGGGGGTGCCGCGGGTCGACCGAGAGATTTATCCTCGTCATGGTTATTGAATTCAGTTTCCCGGAATTTCCCTTCCCCCCGCCAGGTATGGAAGGAGCCATCATGGGAGTTTGGACAGCGCACGGCGAAGGACGGTTCGATTTCCAGAATGCGGAACTGATGGCCGCCTGTGAGAACAAGAACCTCGTGACCGTTCGATACGTCGACGATAAAGGAGCTCCGACTCAGGTGGGATATCGGCGAAGAACTCTGCTCTACTGGGACTTTCCGAATGCATATCGTTCGAGCTTGATCGAGGCTCAAAAAATCTTTCCGCAGGTTTATCCATTGAATCCGAACGGATCACCGAATGCCATCGCCGGACTCTCGTCTGAGTGCGGCCGTCATCTAGCCCTGATGCCCCATCCTGAGCGTTGTTTCCTGCCGTGGCAATGCGCCCACTGGCCAACGAACGATGCGAGATACAAAAACGCCACAGCCTCTCCCTGGCTCCAGATCTTCGTGAATGCCCACAAATGGGCCACATCGAATACTAAATAATGGTCTATACCGGGCCGATTCCGACGTTCTCGAAGACTGCGAGCTATCGATGGCTGATTCTGAATAAAAAATCGAAAACCGGAAAATTTTCCATGGAGTTCACGCGGGCCGGAGCGAAGTCGCCGCATGATGACCCCAATCCCGTACCTAGACACCACTCTAGAATAACTAGTCTCCGTTTCGCTCGATTTCTTGGGAAGATCAGAGCCGCCTGCGTCCCCGGGACATCTGTGTTTCCTTGAGCGATATCTTACCGCCGGCAACATTGTCCGCGTCCGAAAGGGGGATATGTTCTGTATGTATTTCGGAGAGCCGTTGAATTTGCTCGAAACACAAAAACCGAGCAGAGCCGATGTCTTTTCTCCTTTTGTGCCAGTGCATAAGGAGAGCTCTCAAGGGGATATCGATGAGTCACAAAAAAGCCTGCAGCTCATCGAGTGGCCTAAGGCAAGGCTACAAATCAAACTCTAAAAACCATCGCCCGAGTTGTTCCTGCGAGCCTTGTGTCAAGTTCGATCCGAGGATGACTTACCACCACTGCCACTCCTTGATTTCGCGGTGGGTCCGTCACAATGTTTTATGCCCTATCGCGTATAGATGATATCGGCGATGTGTTTCTTGTGATACACATAGAATTGGTATCCGCCGATACGAGCGACAAGAATTCGGCGCCGTCTTTCAGAATCTCTCAAAGAACTCCGACGTAAGATCAATTCGACGAGGAGCGATTTCCTGCCCTAGAAAAATGAGGTCGACACGACTCGCGCGACTCTACGGCTTCCGCGGAAGATTCGGACGACATTCGCTCTTAGACGATATGAGTTGTCGGGTTCGGATGGTTTTTCAGAAAGAGCACCGGTAACACTCGCTTTAAAGACTATTTCAACGTGAGCGACGGCGGGCTCGGTGCCGGCGGCTCGAGACGGGCCGTGCGTTCAAGATGTTCCCAACGGGACAATCTTTTTGATGTATTGAGCTTCACCGCCCAACCCCACCCGGGCACGCAGGGGCGAGCCTCGGTTACCCTTCTTCGGATCCCAGTCATCCCGGTACTCTCGATGGTAATTGAACAATCAATGCTCCGTCCACGGCGGCTTATATCTCCAGCGGAAAGGTCGTTCATTCCGCCCCAAGAGAGAGTGGGATATATATATGAAGCTTCAGGAAATGATCTCGCCGGACGATGTCCTCGCAGGAGGCAATCCAAAAACTGTATATCAGGAGGGAGAACCGATTATGAGACTCTTTCTCAGCGTTCGTATTATCTCATTCGCCTCGTGCGCAATCGAAGAAATTCATGCTTGAATCTCGGAAAGCCTCAAGGATCTCCATCGATCGCTTGGAATCGTAGCGGGATGGTGTTGATTCCGAGAGAGCCGACCGCTGCTCGCTCGGAATTCTCACCTTCCCCGATCGGTTCGAGGAGTGTTCTCGAATATTTTCGGAAAAATCAAAAGAACTCGCCCTCCGTCGTCAATCCACGCGATGAGCATATCGTGACCGGGGCCAACAAGTCGCTTCACCGGCAGTGTGACCATACGTCCTGGCGACTCGCACGGAGTACGTCCTGATGACTGTTCAAGGTGCCACTTATGAAGGTGTGGCCGCGCTTTGCTTTTCTCGTCTTTTTTCTTCTATCTCCGACACTTCCGTTTGACGTGAGCTCGCACCTATCTTCTCCGAGAGCCGATCCTAAATCAAGCGTCGCACGGATAGATTTTCCTCAAGGATTTTCGGACTCGTATTCCCTCCTGCTCCCCTCGCCGTCGGCATCGATCGTTTTCCCTGCCTACCGGATCCTTGATGGAAGAGATCAGGCTGTTGTCTGACCCCGTTATGCGAATCCGAAGTCGACGTTGCTTGGACCCAACTCAGGCCTTAGATCCGGGTTTTTTCTTCATCTTCATCGAGAGAGTTGCACAAACTCAATTTCCCATCAAGGAACTTCAGGTTTCCGGATCTTCACTTCGGAGAGTTTAAGGTCGTGCCGCGTGCCCAGTCAGTGCCCTTGAGCTACTAGAGTACATTATGTTTCCACTGTCTATTGGAAACTCAACCAAGTTTTGATTAAGCTCGAACTACGATTTTTTCATGCTTGCCGGTGTCAATATTAGCTTTTGAGCGCGCCGGAGGCGCTCGACTTCGCGAGTTTCGCTTCTCTCCCTCTTCACTGGGGGAACTGTCTGCTCGCGAAGCGCTCCCGACCGCCCAATGCCCTATGGACGCTCACAACAACAGACTTGGGAACGAGCCACGTAGTTGGACCCCGCTCACGGACTCGAAGTAGAAAGGCGTTCCAGCCGTTCCAGATTCCGCTCCTGAGACAGAGCGAGTGGCCGACGAGAAGCGCGCATACACTTCCGGCTCGTCCATCACTAGAGTTCCGAAGGAAGCTCTTAGTTGAAACGGACGAGAGCGTGTTGATGACCAGGTGTTCGCTTACGTGATTTAATTACGAAATAGATTACTTTTTTGTCGGCAAACAGCCAAGCTATCTGGTCGTAGTGCCATCGACGCCGTCGGAGGATGGTATGGAGGTGCTCGATAAGAAGGAATAGTGGCGTCTAAAGGAATTCTGACACGAGGGCGTAGCCTTTTGATGAATGACTCTTCCGAGACACACGCAACCTCAAAACGGCAACCTGTCTTCAACGAGCGGGATACATCTCCACGGCTCACTCGATATCGATGAGAACTTCATGTTGGAACGTGTGATTAATTTGCACCCTCCCTTCCTCCCTCCCGGCGAGGCTATTACGCGACAGGAACAAGCGTACCGGATCGGGCCATCAACCTGACCGGATCCTTATCGTGCGATCCGTGAGCACCTTCCGTCATTGGAAGGCATCCTTGTGTTTCCTATGAGTAGTCTCCCGGCGATGTTTCATAGGCTTTGCTGTAATGAAAGCTCTCGGCATCATCGGCCATAGAAGGCGGCGACGCGACGTGGTCTGGCACGGCGGCGAGAAGCTGGCGTAGGGCTCAAGCGTAATCCCCGTTTGATGAAAATAGAGAAAACCTTCTTCTCCTTCCTACTTGAATAATAATGTAATTTCTTCGTCTCGCTTTTCGCCTTCTTTCCGCACATTATGGGGAAGGAAAAGCGTTTAAGTGGCTAGATTGCCTCGCCATGTCTCCTTCTCCACCTCTCAGTCGTTCTCGTGCTCGTTTTTCTCCTTCTCGGCTTCAAGGAAAATGACATTGACTTGTGTCTCCGAGCCCTCTGGACTCGGTGCTATCAGTGTCGGCGTTGCAAACCATTTTCTTGTTCCATGAGAGGTCCTCCTCGGCTATCTTTTTCTAGGTGAGGACGCTCTCAGGCGTCTTCCCGGGGACTGAGCTCCGAGATGAAATTCGCGCGTGGAACGCCGATCGGCGAGACGTCTCGGACGTGTCGAGAGCGAATCAGCGCTGCAGCAATATCCGGAAAACTGAATGTTCTTCGTTATATTCGAGAATCCGGGTCTCAGGCAGGAAAAGAGCCACAATCATAAATCTTCGATATTCATTCTACTAACGATTGGGAAAAACAATTGTTCCTTCGTTCTAGGGCAGCTAGCAAGTTCGTTCCGATCATCAATAACCCGCTCCTTCATAAGAAACGCTCGCAAACACCGGAGGAAAAACCGCCAAACTTGTCGTGCCGCTAAATGAGCCCTTCCGCTAAGTCTTTCTTCCTCCCGTTGTTTTTCTTGAACGAACTCTAATGAGAACCGGAGCTAAGTGTGACTCATTCACTGGAGTCAAAGTTCGAGCCGAAGTCCTTCCAACTGGAACCCGGATCATGTCGCGAGCGAGTACGCGAAGTCTCTCGGACAAGCTGAGACTTCAGCTCCGCGATCGGCTGACCCGGTCGTTCGAGGACCCGGGACGTGGAGAGAAATGCGGAGAGAGCTGCTCCGCGTTTCCGGTTGCATTTCCGCTTTTCTGTGGGCTTTGAGCGTCATTTAGCAGCTTAGCGATGTCGCGCCGTTCAGCGATCTGATCCCCGAGCTTAACCTCCAGCGATAAGAGGTGGTCAGCCTTCCTGAGAGCCTCAGCCGATGTTTGCTCGGCGGTATCTTCTCTCTTATAATTTCCCCCTTGCCACGATTTCGGTCCCTTTCTCTCAGCTCTCGTTCCGCTGTCATCATGGATGAGAGCGTCTAAGTCGCCGCGGAACAGAAGATTCGCATCCTGAGTTTCAAGTCTCCAATTCCTCGATCAAATGAGACCGAACTTTGTTTCTCCCCGTGGGAAGTCCCCGACGGAATGGTGAAATCTCCCTCATGGAGCCTCTTGCTGGCGCAACTCCTCAAAGCAAACTTTGTCGACGTGACCATCGTATCATCTCAGACTGAAACACGAACCTCAACTAAATGCTGTCCGTCGGTGCTCCTGAGCATGGCATGCGCTCTCCTGCGTAAGAAGAGATGTTTTCCTCGTGCTTCTTTTCTTCCGACAAGGGTAACGGCCGCGCCATCATACATCGCAGGGCACGAACGCGATTGCGGGATTCTCTGTAAGCCTCAGAGATCTGGTGAGTGGTAAAAGAAGACGAAGCGCAGGGTTCTCACAAGCAGAATTCCTACAGTGGACCCTCACGATGGAACAAGAATGATAATACTGATGAATTCAACGGATTAGCGCCTTTCCGCCTCCAGAGAGCCGAAGACAATGGCCATGAAGTGAATATAAGAGAGAATTTCGAGCCGGAACCCAATTTTCAATAACGAAATTAAAATAATGGTCAGAAACGATGCCTTTGTGCGTCTCCGAAGTCGATAATTGATTGATTCGTCATCCGAATGTCAAACAGCCCAGAGCGGTCTGAGCGTCTCGAGAGGGGTCATGAAAAGACCCGCGGTGCAGACTCCCCCGGTGGAGGGGAAGCAAAAATTGAGCGCGACGCGGTCGAAAATTTCCGTCGAGGTGAATTGACTGCGAAACTTGTGTCAACTTCCCTCCGTCGTTAGCGCTCGGAGCTTCCCTCATTCGTTTGCCCCCTTGGCGAGACTTCGGCGCCTCGGCGGCCGATGATGTGGGATCTGCTGGGCTCCCGCCTTATTAAAGAGCGAAGGGGAACCTTTCGTTGCCACAGCGCAATGCACAAACAATGTGAAGTAGAGCGGCGAGAAGGCAAGAGAGACAGATATAATTTTCAGAGAGGAAAGATGCCTTATTTCGTCGAGGATGAAGTCACCCGAACTCGCAACCTGGACGATATGAACGGCTAGGCCAGCACAATAGCGTTTGGTTCGGAATGTGGTAATTGTTCGCAAGAATTGAGCGAGATCCGGATGACAGATGCAGTGAGTCTGGTGCCTTCCCTGCTCGTTGTCGCGAAGCCCCTCGGTGTCCCCAACGATTGTGGCTCTTGAGGAAAGGGGCGAGGGGAAGGCCTCTGATCGCCCTCTTCGCGGCTCTCTGCTGGTCAAAACGAAATAGCTCTCCCTGACACAAATCCTCCTCCTTCGACGCCCGGGCGGCTCGATCGTATTCCGCGAGGAGAGTCCAGGAGAAGCACTCACGACTCGCTTCGGAAAATGCGGACATTTCTCGGGTTATCGCTAAGGGGAGCTCCGAATCCTGTCTGATCCAAGGAGTAGATAACCCTCTCCCCTCTAGCACGCAGAGTCGCGGACTTCAGGGCTTTCTTGATAATTTTATTATTTCGTATTTGTCGGGAATTTCTTCGAAATACCTTGTGTCGCTAAGGCGTAACTTTTCGCAGCGGAGTTCTTTCCGCACAGTCTCGTAGAACAGCTGGTATGTTTCCTCGTTCCTGATAACACTTGAGATGATCGCGTCACAAGAGTTCCGATGGATGGCTCGAACAATTAAATCAACCAAGAATGGAACGATGTCTTTGTCGAAAACTATGTCTGCCCCTACAATGAGATCGGCCTCTATCGATCCTCCGACGCACCAATCTAACAGTTGCACCTGAGGTCTCGCATCGTTCGCGTTCAAATTCAGATCGATATTCTGTCTCAAGGTGTCCAAGACTCCCGCGTGACAATCTGTGAAGATGTACGACTGTATACTCGGACATTTTCTCAGCAATATCAGACCTGTCAATCCCACACCCGCGCCGAGTTCAACGATTCGTTTCCTGTCGAGGTTCTGGTTGAGCAATACCTCGGTGAGCATTTTTGCTGCTGGCCAGCTCTTGAAGCCAGTGGACCCTGTAAATTTCGACTGACCGAAGTTCTGTACGAGCAGGTATTTCGTTCGATCATCTCAATGATTGTGTTCCATGCAATGAGCCCTACCCTGCGTCACGAAGGCGCGCTCTTCGATCAAGGTCACGCATTCTAGTTCCTCATCGCCAACTTCGTAGCTGACGTAGCTTGGCCTCTCAATCGCGCTCGTCATGACCGCCCTTAGTTCATCGTAGAGATGATCCTCGAGTTCAGCGTGTGATTCCAAGAAAGATATCAGAAGTTTCAGAACTTTTAGCCTGTAATGTTGTGATCCTTGATTACCGATAAAAGGCGATAATTTCCTTCCCGATGAAAGTCGGAGATCGATCATCATGACTCTGTCTTGCATTCCTGGGATCGCTCGACTCGCATTTCCAGCATGAATTTTCTGCATATCCGTGGACGGAAATGGCGGGAAGGAGAGCACCCACGGGCCCGTCGTCGAACTCGGCGCAAACTCTCCACTCGTTCACAGAACATCCGCAATGCAAAGGAGGGGTATCCAGGGTAGGGGCGGGACTCACCGGTAAGAGTTGCTCGCAGGATATTTCGTGGACACTGCATTCCGGATCACTTGCTCCACAATGGCACATTCGCTTGGAATTTCTTTCTCATCGAAACCATTTAGAATCTGGCGCAGTTCCGATGAAGGCCTGCATGCGAGATAGGCTCTCCTCAAGAGCTTCATCCGTGGTGAGCCCATCGCCGAGCCAGAGTGACAGTGCCTTGTCGGGGGGAATTCACATATATTCCGACCTCTAGCAAAGATCTGAGAATTTTTCATTCCTCCATAGGAATTCTGCCTGCGAAAATAAGGCTGACAGCTGCGGAGTATCTCAAGAAAATTGGGCGCGCGATCAGCTGTTCTCATCGTGTTTCGAATCAACAGTCTGCTTCCCTCTCCACTCTAGCGTCGGCGGCTCGTGTCTCCAAACTGTAAGTCTTTGCTGAAAATACGCGTCTGCTCCGGATGTCTTGCAGCGGATCGTGATTTCCTCGTGGACATGCGGGAAGGGAAACTTTGCGAAAATCACGCTCCTATGGACAGAGGGCGAATGGAGAAGAATCCCTGATCGTTTGGGTGACATTCGATCGCGGGGTGAGGTCATGGAAGAGTGGCGGAACTCGGAGACTTCTGTAGTCCACTTCTTCACAATGGAAAGATCTCATCGAATTCTCAAGATCCATCCGGTCATGAATATCGATTGTTTGTTATGAGAATAGGGACACGAACTTACAGACTAAATCCTGGAGCCGGGGAAGCGAGATATAACTATTTTCCCCGGAAAGTCCCCGGTGTGCGAGTATCCACCCTTGCCTCCCCCTGAGAGTCCTGTGGAGACGAGTACGACCTTCCTTTGATCTCGCGAGAATTTGATACAGATAATCGAATAGATTCCGAATTACGAAATACGTGTTCGGATCCGGAGAAATCACCCCCCCTGACTTTCGGGCGAGCCGATCCCGCGGCGTACGCAGCTGAAATCATTGCGCCGGGGTTGAAGGCTTCGGTCGACGGCGGCCCTGAGAACATCAAAGTGGTTCGTCTTCGAAGATTCTCCCGGTTTTCTCCCTTCGCTTTTGGCTCTTATTTTCTCCGTTCGGAGGTTCCTTCTAGGAACCCCTACGGACACTGAAGTGGCGGCCGCGGCGAGAACATTCAAATAGATTCTCCAACAGCAGCAGCGGCTAGTTTAACATGTAAATTGAATATGGACAAAAAGTTGGCGTCCTCCGAACGTAAGCCGAAGCCAAGATGGATTGGTTTTGGTCCCTAAGTTACTCGAACACATTCCCTGAGTCTCGCAGGCGTTCGGAATTCCCTTCCGCAGCAAATTGTTCGTCCAGCAGCATCGGTGTACTCGAGGCCGAGGCTGGACGCTCGCTCGTAAACACTGTCGATAATGCTCTAGAATGAACGAATTGAAACCTCAGGAAGCGAGACACCTGAAAAGCTTCCTCTGTAGCCCGTTCTCAAATTATTAGGCTCCGAGCTATTTCCGACCGGCCGAGTGCCGAGAAGTTGCCGAAGCCGACTCCATGGAGTGACTTGATGACCTGGAGTTAGGATGTAGGCGGCGGTGTTTGTGGTGGGGCACGAGGAGGCTGGGGTGGGAATCCATCCCGAAAGTGTGAGGACGGAGCGATAGGAGTACCGAGTGGAGGAAGAGGAGGAGCCTCAGGTGTTTCGACGGGCTGCTTGCGAGTGTTTCTTCGCTTTCACCAAAAGATGACTGGTGAGCTTGTTCGAATGGAGCTCCCAGTCAGATTCGGCGGCTTCACAAATTCAATTCCCTAATTCAAATCCTATTAAAACGCGTGTCTCGACTGCTGAATTCGCTGGGGAGACTGGTACACATCGGCTAGTTATACTTTCGAGTTTCGAGCCCGGGGCACTCGTCAACCTTTGGCTCCAACAGAAATTAGGTTCAGCGCCTCCGGAGCACGGGAGCTCTTGGGAATCATTTCCTTCCATTTATCTGACGAGAATCATTGTAGCTCCTCGAAGGCAATCCGACCATTGCACAGGATAGATGTGTCAAACGAGAATATGGATCTACCCTCGTAGGGCTCGGGAGTCCAGACATTATTCACATTGATCGCGTCGTTTTTTTTGGTGCGTATAGATTGATGGATTACTGAGTTTATGATGATTTATGATGATTGCACTTTCGAAACCTTCCGGTCCCCGAGCATAATCCATCCTTAAATCTATTAATGCGATCTAATAAGTACCTAATCATGACTTGATAGCGCGTGATCAAGGATTTTAGCTTTTCTTTAACTTCTAAGCTCGCGGTTCCGCTCCGACAGCCTTGTGTCTTCGCGGAAGCCCGCGTCGCGCCCCCTTGGGAGATGACGCTGGACATGCTTGACTTCTGACCCGCTTATGGCTTTCAGAAATCGGTTGTCTCCACATCGATGTTGCGTCCACATCGAGAATCCCTCGTGGAGGCCCCCATGTACCCCTTCACGATGGATGCGAGTCCTTGATCGTTGAGGGGAATCCGAGAGCATGCGAAGTGCTCCGTGTAAAAAGCTGACGCCACTCGCACCCGGCGCGGTACTAGCATATTTAGTTGGAATGACGCGGCCGCTTCGGAGGAGACCGCTCTCAATGGCGACTATACGCGGGCGCGATGTCTGCCGGTGGGCAAGGCGGGTTGAGGTGAAGGCGGGCGGTCTCTTGACTGACTGGCTGACTATGACATACGCTGAAAAGAGTACCAGTGCATGAATGTAGATCAGCGGGATGAGGAGCAGCGGGTGAGTGAGAGACGGAGGGAGGGGACACGAGCCAGGACTACGGGGAGGGGGTGGGCTGACTCTATCCATATTGCTAATCGTATAATAGCTGCTTCCTCGCGGCAAGCAATTTACATCTGTATAGCTCATTGCTTGCTTGTAGTCCCCCCGTACGGGCGCAAACGAACGGGGAGAGAGTGCGCGTTCCTGCCGTTGGCGGCTCGACACGCTTGTCAATGCCTGCCCACTCTTGTGCACCGAATTCCCGACCATTCTATTGAAGGCATCCTTGCCACCCGATCGCGTCTCCGAGGAGACGCCGGCTCGCCTCCGATAGCGAATATTCTCTGAATTTCAAGGAATCGTCCCGTGTCTATGTTCCGAGACCAGGTAGCCTCTCCGTGAATTCCATCAATCGGATAAGCACGATTGTGCACACGTTATCCGGAATGATTTCACGAAGCGTGTGACGGGAGCGAGAATGTGTGCGACGAGAAACACCAGAGAGCTCCATCATCGGCGTCGGCAGAGCATCAGAGCACTGACTCAGTCAGAAAAAACGCGCCGTTTGCGAAGCGAAGAAAATATGCAACGAGTCTCTCATCTCAAAGCTCCGATCAATCATCGGCAGCAGGGATGGCACTGGGGCCAATATGAGCCGGGGAAACGTCAGATTGCGGACCGGGGGCCTACGATTGGCGCCGTGAGACGGGCCATCGCTCGGATGCGAGAGAGGTCAAGGATCGTGACCCCCTCCCCGCCGGGGTTGCGCGAACCCAAGGACCGAGGGCAAGTAGAACGAAGCATACCGAAAAAGCGCAACAGAAGTGCAAAGAAGAAGGCCGCCGGAGGAGGCGGCGGGGGATTGGCCTGTGTCCTTCTGTAACCTGAGAAGCTCGTTCTCGATTCCCTGGGGTATTCAAATAGCCTCTCTTTGAGATGCGGGTCTGATTTTCCTTTGTTTTTTTCTTTCGGCTTCCGAACGACTGGCTTGCAGACTATCCGACTCTCTAGATATTGGAAGAAGCTTCTCTCATCTTCTTTTTCTTCTTTCTGATGCTCCATGCAAGCTCCCCATCGATTTACTCTCGCTCACCCGCTACATATCATTGACCTCGGCTTTGGAATCCGAAATTTTACAACGAATTCGAGCTTGACCTGTATGTAAATATTTGAGCCGGAGCATTGTCTCCGCCGGCTACGTACCCCCAAAATCCCTCGCGTCAGTCGTCGACGCTCTCGGGGCATGGCGCGGCGTAATCGTCCGGAACTTCTATGACGGTAATTTGGCCCGAAAGAATTTTCCTCCGAGAAGCGAGTTGTTGAATATCGCGCGGAGATTTCACTCCCAGAGAGTAGGACTCGTCTGCTTTTTGGGAAGAAGAAACAGGAGTTTGAGCTGTGCAGTGCCAAGTGAGAGAATAAATAAAATGGGAGCGGAAGCTCTCACTCGGCTCTCTCGGACGATGATCCGACGTGCTCGAGAAGAAAAGGTGGATGTGGTGGAGGTGGCGAACGCAGTAATCATGTAGAAATGGTTTAGGTGGAGAGTAGAGCAGCGGAGCCAGCGTGGATGACTCGCTTGCTTACTCAGTCAGCTAGGTGGCTCGTCTGCACCTCGAACGGCGTGCCGGTCGACTGTTCGGGATATTATTGGGTAGGTGGAGGTAAGCGAGAGTGGAAACGGAGGTTATTGAGATCGTGAGATGAAACCGAAATCTCGCCACGGAAAATATGAGGAGCCTTTGTTGTTGGTATACAAGCGTCGAACGTCCATCGTTCAAATCACTGACTGGAAAGTAAATCTCCCGAGAGCTGGCGGTTTCGACGGAACCGCAAATACCCTCGCAAGGTCGCGATAGAAGAGCACAGCAACGTACATACGCGAGGCAACTCACAAGGGAGGTACCAGAACTGCCTCCTCGCGATTTCGACGAGATATTGCGGGATTTGGAGGTCGACTTGAGTCTAGAAAAACGCCATATGTCCTTGCAGCAGGTGGGCCCTTTTGAACGAATAACTCGACCACCTTCATTTTGGGTTTTCCATTGGAAATAGCCTATTTTCCATAGATTTTTTCTTGAAGCTGCCTCAAAACTCAAACCGCTGCCATGGAAGCTGGATGATAAGCTTGCTCAGAGCCGCGATAGGTCCCGCCATTTGAATTCGGTGCCATTTTCGTCGTTCACAGAGTTTGTTCACTCTGTGAAATTTCGCGATATCGAAAACCACGATTATAGAGACCGTACAACCTTGTAGAAGCTTTATTCGCTTCCGACGAGGATTCAGTTCATGTGAGGAAGAGATTACAGCAATGATATGACACGAAAAAACATCGGGCGCACAGAACTTTCTCACAGTGAATACATCGAATGATTGGAGCTAATTTGCAATCTGACGTGGAACAATCCTCGGAGAAAGTGAGCAACATTTCTGACAGAGATG